AAAGAAAAATTGATCCAAAGTAGGAATTTGAGAAGCACCTTTCAGTGAAGAAAGCTGGAGCTGCTCCTTCCTAACGCTTATCGCCTACGTTTCTTTTTCAAGCAGGTGGTCTAGAAGAATCGGCTGTGACCGGCATCGTCGTGGGGGCCTTATTAGGAGCTGGCTTGCTAATGGCCTTCTACTTTTTCAGGTTAGCCTTGCTTATAGAGTTCCAAAAGGACCCTCCTTCGCTGCCTTTGCACCATCCTCCTTGTGACTCGGCCATGTCTCCTACCCGCAAAGCACGGTTCTCCAAAGAGCCTCAGCCATTTGTCATTATTTCTAGTGCTAGTTGAGCAGATAAATCATAAATGGGGAGCTTTAACCAAGGGACACTTATTTTCTCGAGGTTTAGGAGACTAGAAGTTCAAATGCAAAGCATAGGCTCTAGGGGAAGGCTTTCTTTCTCTGTCTCCTCTGGAGGCAGGTCTTGGTATCTTCTGGGTTTCTGTTCCTGGACCATCTTCATGTGGGTTAGGCATCTCTGCTCAGCTTACTCATCTACCAGATTGGAAATGCAGGAAATCTATGACAGATGAACCCCTCAGGACCAGGGGTGACAGTGACAATACCAGGAGGGAAAGGGGGTGTAGAAAGGGGGAATTGATCACAGGGAGCTACATATAACCTCCTCTCTGGGTTATATGCAAATAACACACACTTTATATATATATAAAACAATTCAACTCTTCACACAATGGTTTCCTATATACTCTATTGGATTTACATGTGTTTGCATGATTTATGTGGTCATGTTATATGCAAAAAAAAAATTACAATCTCTTTTATACCTCAAGAGATTCACTCGATTGACCCTACATTAACCCTTTCTTATTAGCCTAACAGAGACAGCCTAGTTCCAAAATGGGATTATAATCACGGGTTAGGATTGACAACATGTATATTTTGGGGAGAAATAATTCAATCTATAATACTTTTCTTCTGGGGTGGCACTCAGCTTAGTGGCCAGTAGGGTAGCACACTGAGATCAGAAGTTTCTATTGCATCCCTTGTGGGACAGAGGGCTGCTACTATCCTTTGATCACATAAAGCCAGACCTGAATTCCTTTCACCCACCAAGTGCATAAGTGGAGGGGGAATCTGGACTAAGGTGGAACTCAACTTTCTAGTTCTCAGACTTGCTCTGGGTCAAAATAAGTCTTTGGGTTCATCTTCTAAAGACAAAGACGTAGCTCTCAGTATATACTCTCGGGCTGGTCGGTGCTCAGTATTTGGAGAATTGAAATGGTTTGTTAGCTAAGACTTGAAAAATCATCATATGTCTGTGTGCTCATGATTCTGATGATTTCACAGTACAAGGGTAATGTTTGGTGCATGAATTTATGGCTTATTCATAAGTCATTAGACCACGATTTCATTCTGCGTGAAAATGCCGCTCTGGGTGTATGTGACCCTTTGTGGGAACAATTGTATTCCTGTTCCTCAGGCCACAAGACCCTTAATCTGATCTTTATCTGGGCCATATCCTGGGAGTTGGGGGTGGGGGGCTTCTGTGGCAGAATAGACCAGATTTAACCCACAAGGCGCCCAGGGAAGAAGGGGGAGGCTTGTTTTATGCTAGTTTGGAAAGCATGCCAATTTTTCTCCTTGAATAAAGGCATAATGCCTTGGGGCACACTACTTTAATCTCTGACCAGGGTTTCATATTCTGTCACTTCTCATTTATCAACTCAAACCCAAATGTCCCTTGAGGGCACTCTTTGTAAGAAAGACTATAGTATGTTGTGGCCAAGTGAGGTTTTATGACTGTATTCACTTTCTCTCCACCCAGGAAAAAGTACAGAATAACCATTGAGAGACGAAACCAGCAAGAAGAAAGTAACATTGGAAAACATCGGGAGTTACGGGAAGATTCCATCAGGTCCCATTTCTCAGTGGCTTAAAGGAAGCCTTGCCCTCCTGCCCACCCCTCTTGCTCGAGATTCTTTAAGGAGATAGTTGGGATGAAAGATATCAATGGAACAGAAGGGGCGCTCTTGAAGAACTCATTCTTTTAAGCAGTTAGCCATTTTTTGTTTTAAAATTTCTTTAGAAGCTCAGGAACAATCAATAATCACAATATGCCTCATGGCCTTTCATCTCATGAGAAACACATGTAAGGGTAGAGCGTCACACTGTTAGATGTTCACTGCTTCAAGGGTGTATGATTAGGTCACTGGTTTAAAGATCTGATGTCTCTATATATCTTGATGGCTTTGGGGGGCATTTCATGCAAGGGTGCAAAATGTGGTTTTCTTAAATGAAATGGTATATGGCTCGAATAAAATAGTTTTCCCAGCAGGATATTCTTGGAAAGAATTTGAGACCCAGGAAGAGGAAGGTGTAACGAAAGAGGGCAAGGTTGGAAATGTCGTTTTCCTTTCTCTGTGCTTGGTGGACAGATTAGATGGGGAGGGCTGCTCTCCTCAGCATCTGCTTCTGGGTTCAGACTCTGTATATCCAAAGAGGATTGCCTTTTCTCCCTGTCTCCTTCAGTGGCTTCTAAAAGCTCTTCTGGAAAGTTGTAACTATTAGTGAGACAAGAGGATTCACACACACACACACACACACACACACACACACACACACACACACACAGCAGGTCTAAAATATTTCCTTTTCTAATGTCAAAAAAAGTCCTACGTCACACTAACATTTTATTTTTGAGTATTTTAATCTTATATTTTGCTATTAGAAAATGTGTCTATTTTTTCATTTTGAAGATTATAGGTCACTTGTATTTTAAAAGCATGGGTCATGTGTATAGCAAACCAACAGTGGTGAAAGATGTTTCTCTTCTTCTCCTGGCTTCCCTCGTCTCCTTGGCGACAGCCAAGCACCACAGGCTGCTTCGATTACAGATGTAGAGATGGGTCGAGATTCCAAACTCTCAAGGATTTAGGGCTCGACCCATCAATGGACCTGTTTTCATTGCAAGTGATATTAGGCATGGACATATGCTGCCAATCCTGGCAAAATGATCTTAGTCATGATTAGGAGGTGGACGGTTATTAGAATTTGCAAAGGGAGACGTCCCCTTTTACAGAAGGACATATTTCAAAAATTCATCCGGGGCATTGTTTCTTATATTCAGTAATGATTTTGGGTTTTAAAGAGGCAATCTGAGTATCTGCCTAGATTCTCTTTTAGCCAGCTGCATGGAGCTTTAGAGACATCCCTCGTAGCCTGTGTAGCCACACTGGGACTTCGGGTTACATGGAATAAGTACTTCCTGAATATCTGTTTTGCACCCATTACTCTGAGCATGGGTTTGAACTCAGGTTGTCCCGTTCACTTATACTTATGGGGGGAAGTAGAGAGAGGAGACTGGGGAGTTATCAGAAGAGTGTCCCACCTTGTCATAGGTCACTAGGGTCTTTCCTCCATAACATAGTGTACATCTGAACAGTAGATTTAAAAAGTATCTTCATATCTCTAAAAGTCCCACGACAGAGAAGGCTTTGGCTGAGTTTGAGTCATTTCTTGGTGGTGAGGGAGGCCATGGTTCCACCAAATCCCGGCCACGGTTCCACCAAGGCCTGTGACAGAGCCACCGGGCCTCCCTCGCTCAACTGGGCCTGCGTATTGGAGGAATCTGCCTCCATTGCCATCACTGCAGCCCGAGGGGACAGATTAGTTTGTATGAGACATGCTTTTTCTTTCTTGTCGGAGTAAACAGAAGGCTGGCTGCTGGAGTGTAGGATACAAGAACTCTGGTCAACTAGAGCATCCATCGGGAGAAGGACTGGCCTTTCTACTCCCGCTAACCGGTCCAGCCTTGGAAGCCCCAGGGGTCGCTGTGAGTCAGCTGGCCGCGAGAGCCGCCCTGTTGTCGTTCTCCCTGTGTGGTGCCATGAAGAAAGTGCTGAATTGGAAAAAGGATAAAAAAATGAGAGAAAGAATGGGAGACTCCAGAAATTCCAGAATAACGCAGGAAGAGAGACTGGGAAGTAAAGTCTAGGAGCGCAAAAAAGTCTTTGGCAGCATGGGATGCCGATGTGAGGACCGGATGGAAAGAATATGTCCATCTCTAGCTGAATTGGAACGCTTCTTGCTTTCTCGTTTTTATTTGTCAGACACCCTGACCATGTATTTTTGAGATAGTCATTTCCTGTTGTCTAGTATTTTTTAGAAAGAAAAAGAAAGTTTAACCCCTCATGCTTACTAGATGGGGAAAAGCACGCTACTTTGCCTGGGTACAAATAGTTCTTATCTCTAGAATTTTTAGGGTCCCAGGAAGTCTAACATTAAAAAAAAAAATATTCCTTATTTTTATGTCAGGGAGAGGAACAGTCCTCAAATTAAAGTTATATCGCTGGGCAAAATCTGAAAAACGAGTGCATAGTTAGTTTTTCCAAAAAACCAAACCCAAACAAAGATGGCAGAACAGGTCTTGAGATGTCTTGTGTCCCTGCCAGCCTCTCTGTCTGTCTGCAAGTCTGAGCGTGTGTTTCACACGGGTCACTTGTTCACATTGCTGCTGCGTACTCCTTCTGCCTCACAGCCTTCTTGCGCATCACCACAGCCCCTGTCCGTTTTGACAGTTCTTTTGAGACACCTCTTGTTTCCAGCATAACCTTGGGTTAAGGCTGCTCAAGACAAGAATTTGTGATTTGAAACAAGACGAAATGCCATCACGGGGGAACATTTTATGGTGGTTTGGGTGAAAGTTTACAAAGTAGAGCTAATTAGTTTCTCATTCAAGAATGTACACCCATTTTGTCTGGTGGCCTTAGTGACAGCCCCTCAACAAAACAGCAGGCGTCCCCCTCCCTCTCTGGACTCACTGTGGCCATTTTTCTCTTGGCACGCCCCTTCCTGTCTTCTGAACTGGTGGGGAGGGGGAGGGAACCCCAGTGCTGCCCTTTGGTCTCTCCGAGGGCTTGATGGGAGGAGCTCGTTCTTCCTGGGTGGTGGTGTTCACTTTATAGGCCTGCCTGTTTAAGATGGTCTCTCGGAGTGGCTTCCCTTTCAGTTTTGAAGGGTGACATTTGGAATGTAGCTTCCTAACGTGCTCAGCAGCATCTCTGACAGCTCGTCATGCATCCCTTAGCCTTTAGGGATGCATCATCTAGTGAAATCAACAGGGCACTTGAGTTCTTAAATCCACAGGACACATTTTTGCTCTGCTTCCTGGGATCCTTGATCAGTCTTTTCCATCTGGCCCAGTGTAAGCTGACACGGACACAGGTCAAAACAAGTAGATACTTTTTTGGTGTTGGAACTAAAATTTGATTTTATGGCTGTCATTGTGACAGTCATAGATTTATGACATATGATTGATGTGACTGACATAGATTTAGTGAGCACTCTGTCCTGGGCCCCAGGCCTGAAAGCCATTTTTTACAGGACCCACCTTTAATGGCGGGGAGGGAGAAACCTTCTTGGCTCCTTTTGCTTAAGTTCAAAGAGGGTTGCTTTAGAATGTTAGGTCATTCTCCCTATTCAAAAGCTTCTACAAAGAAAAGAAAAGAAAGAAGAAACAGCAACAACAAACCCATTGTCATCCTGACTCACAGCAGCCCAGTAAGACAGAATAGAATGGCTTCACAGGATGCCTTTGGCTGGAAGTCAAACAGCCCCCTAGGGTCTCTGAGGCTGGAAATCTTTACAGAAGTGACTGAGGCAGTGTTTTCCCTCGGAGCTGCTCCTGGGTTTGAATCACCAAGGTTTTGGGTTAGCAGCCTAACGCATAACACACGGCACCACCTCACGACACACTCTTTGGCCCTCACTTATCACTGTCTTTTCGGTTGTTGCTGATGTTGGAACATGGCAAGCTGTGCTGTCAGCAGTGAACAGCCCTCGTGCCGAGAGACAAGAATTTAGAGAGGTGTCAGCAAGGCTCTGTTGGCTACTTGTAGATGCCTCTTTAGGAGACCAAATAGAATATTATGCCACTGGTATCAAGGGATCATTTATAAACGGCAAGGAATGCCTACCTGTGTTTCTTAGGACACAGGGAGCTAAGATCCTGAGTGAACGCAGTCATGAGGCCATATGCCAGCCCAAAGGAGGCCCCGACTCTGTGTCACGGGCTTTGTTTAGTTACACCCTGTGGTTCGCTGCTTCGTGGGGAAGCTGGGAATGAGGTGAGGGCCTTGTTCTGTGGAGCACACAGGCTGCCAAGGAATGTGGAGTCTGTTTTAGGGGCAGTGTGGAGGCAGAGAGAAAGGGATGCTGCTCAAAGGTCCTGTTTCTTTGTCCCTTGGTCTGTAGAACTAAAGAACAGCAAGTAATGCAGACCCTCCTCAACAGTTTTTTGTGTGTGCCAGACTCAACAAGAAGCTTGAGACATGCCCAGGAAGAAGAATCCGGAGTTCAATCCTCCAACACCCTCTTGCTGTGCTCTCAGAAGTGTCTGCCTCTCGCTCATGCAGGTGGAACCCTGTGAGGGAGACCTCTGTACTTTCCCAGAGGAAGAAAAGGCACACAGGTGCCACCTGTCAGAGTGTAGCTGGGTGTGATCAGAACCCTTACACGGATTTGACCACACATGCTCTTGGGGCAGCTCGAACCTGTGATGTCCATTGGCTCCAACTTGCCTGGCTGTGGATTTCCTCACAGAGAGGTCACAGAGGCCCCTTGCTAGTGTCTCCTACCATCAGAGGCAGGATTTACAACAGTTTTCAGGAAGTGTTAGCTTGGAGTTTGTTCACATTTCTCTATAACCACTAATGTTCACTCACACCAAAGGCGAAACCTTCTAAACCAGCTGACGTTCTCCAGGTCCTGTTTGATGGGACGTTAATCACAATGAGACCCGAGGGTGCGAAGGGTACCTCCGTGTGTTCATCCTCTTTGATGGAGCAGCCGAGGACTGATGCCTAGGGGAGAGATTTGAACGAGCAGAGGTATGGGCTGGCAAAAATACTAGACAGCTTTGATCCAGATTTTTAAAGAGCTGCATTTTTATGCACAAGGAATTAAGGGACCATTTACTGTCAATGACCAGAAAACCCCATAGGCACCATGATCTTTTTTATGTGTGGGAAAGTAAGGTTGTCATCTTCAAATGGGTTCCAACTTGTATCCACCCTGGAGCACAGAGTGGACCTGTGGGTTTCTGAGGGTTTCTGAGGCTGTCTGTCTTTACAGAAGAGGACAGCCTCATTTTCTTTCCCACAGAACAGCTGGTAGGTTTGAACCACCCACCTTTTGGTTAACCCATGGTGTCATCAGTACTGCCTAGTAATTGGGAAGAGAAGGTTGAGAGAAAGGAATGTTTGTCCTGTTTATTAGCCAGTGCCAGCAGCTGGGAATGCCCATTGTGGTGTGTCTTCTGGAGAAGACAGCTTGGAGGGTCCAGAGACAATGTGCAGATGCTGTGAGCTTGCAGGCCTTCGCTTTGGGTCCTGGGACTCTGAGAATTAGTCCTTGTGCATGATGAAAAATTGAAACTGAGAGGACAGACACTGTGGAAGTGGAATTCTGGGTCATGCTAGTCATTGTTCGTTTAAGTATAATTGTCAAACAATGTGGAGCTACCATGAGCCTGGTAGCCAAGGAACAGTAAAAGCTATACAAGCTACATACCGTTTATTATTCTAATGTAAGTAGAACTATCTGCATATAATGTGACTTAATTTATTGTTGTTTGTGTAGAAAATGATAATTACTGACTGTGGATATATAACCCTTGTTTTGTATAATATATTTTATTTCTGGTGCAAAGTGGTCATTTAAAATATCTACTTCATTCGGTGTTTGGATATCTATGTGTATGTGTTCTTGTAAATGTTTCTACTAAACAAGAATGTCACATACCCTGAAGATAACAATGTGTTCTCATTAAAAGAAAAATACACCCCACAGAAGCCTTTTCCTGTTTCTCATTCCACAACATACATGGCGCCTGTCCATAGACATGGAGGCATAGACGTGCTTTCAGAGGGCCCTTTGGGGTAAAATGAGTCAATGTGATGTCTTGTAACATTGTTTTGCTGTCCACTGAAGGACTCAATAAGTTCTGCCATGCAAGGAGAAACTCAAAGAAAAAAGATGACAACACACTACAAAACAAAGAGGCCCCACTGCCTTCCAGTCCATTCTAACTCATAGTGACCCTATAGGAACAGAATAGAACTGCCTTGGACTGTCTCCCAAGCTGTAATCTGTAGGGAATCAGATTGCCACACCTTTGTCTCGTGAAGAGGCTAGGGCATTTGAGTCATTGGGCTTTGTTTGCAGTTGAGCACTTAACCGCTGCACCACTAAGGAACCGCGACTCTGCCAGGAAGACGCACCCTTCCCAGTCATCATGATCTCAAGGCTCTGCAGCTGGAGACCACCACATGGTGACGGAACATGGGCATCAACTCAGCTTCCTTTTCCTGCTCACTTTCGGGAGATGCTAAGTCAGTCACTCAGTCTCAGTCATGCTCCGCCCCGATGCCGGACATCCCTGTGACCACGGAGGAAAGTGCCGGACATCCCTGTGACCACGGAGGAAAGTGCCGCAGGTTCTGGCACCACTCCAAGACTGGCTGCAGATCACCCTGCTGTGGGCCAGCGGGGTTTCATTGGCTGATAGTCAGAAGTAAATCGCCAGGCCCTTCTTTTTATTTTCTAGTTTTCCAATACATTTATTGATTCAAAGTCCACCTAGAGTATGGCTCCATGGTTAAGTTGCTTTTAAAAAGCGTTGTATAGACATCGTCACAATCAGTTCTAGGGCACCCTCCTCTCTCCTGTATTAGGCCTGTGTTAGACCGGATTGATTAGAGAAGCAAATACAGTGATATTCATCATATGCATGTATAAGAAAGAGCTTTATATTAAAGAACAATTGAACATTGAGAAAACATCCCAGCCCCGTCCAGATCAAGTCCATAGGTCCGATAGCCCTTATGTCCGATACTAATCCATAAATTCCTCTTTAGACTCACAAAGCACACGCCATGGTACCAGGAAGCTCACAGGCCAGGGGTAGGTCCAGTGGTGGTGGAAATATCTCAGCCCTGGTGTGGGTCTCCAGGTATCTCTTCTAGCTCCAGGGTTCTGGTTTCCATCAGCCTGGCTCTGTATGGCATGTCAACAGGACTATATAACAGAGAATGTGTCCCACCTCCAGGGAGGAAGAGATGAAGTTCCGCGAATCCCCATGACAAGGCCACGCCCACAAGGAGGGATCGGTAGGTTGTGACCTGATTGACAGGCTACACTCCCCTTCGTACTTATTTACCAAGTTGACATCAAATTGTGTAACTTCCACAAGGCCCTTCTTTTTAGTCTGTCTTGGTCTGAGAGTCCCTTTCTGAAGTCCGTTCAACAACGTAGCAGCACACAAACCTCCGTGGACAGCTGGGTGATGGTGGTGGTGGCGGTGGCTATATTTGAGGTGCGTTGGCTGGAAAGCAAACCAGAGTCCCCTGTTGTGGGATGTAAAAGGGTTTTTCTCCCCGTTATCACTCATATCATATGCTGAGCCTAGGACACTGCTTGCTAGCACAAAGTCATATCCTTGTCAATGAGGGTGGTGCGTGATGGAGACCCAATGCCCATCTCTAGACAATTGGACATACCTTCCAGAGGGGTAGTGGGGAGATGAGTCACTTAGTTGCTTAGAGGTGCTCTCCCTGAGGGTATCAGCCATCTAGAGCAATCAGACCCTATTGTCTGTCCCACCATAGGTGGGGCCTACTCCCCTCTGATAAAGATAGTGGATTGTTTGCCTGAAGGAGATCCCAGAGACAAGGCAAAGCCAACTCAAGAAGGATCAAGGTTAGGCTGCTGCCATCTTGAATCCAGGATCAACCCATCTTGTCACATGTGTACCCCTAGTCCCTCCCCTTCCTATTGTGTGTACACCCCTAGCTCATCCCCTTCCTGTCACACATATGCCTATTGGACAACCCTTTCCTGTTATGTATGTGGTTACCTGTAATCACGGAGGCTCGCACAGCCCCCCAGTGTATATAAGCTGTGATTGGAAATATCTGCTCTCTCTTCTCCCACATGGACCACCAAGAGGGGCTGAGGTGAGCATGCTACCATGAGATGTGTCTGCCTCCTTTATTTTATGCTCTCTCCTGCCTGCTGTGACTTTACCATGACCTTTAGATATTATTGCCCTACAATTACCCTACGGACCCCTCCGTTGTTAGAGGCTGGTTTCCTCTGACACCCTGTGTGGAAGATGAGAATGCTATCCACTGAAACCCCAATGCCCCCATCCTGGGAAGTTACTCTGGATTAATTTTAAGTTGGAGGGACAGTGATTCCTGTGGTTCCCTAGGTGTGCTAACACTGACAACGAAGCCTGGCAATTCCAAAAATGCCACTCCCACTGTGCCATCTGAGACGACTGTAGCAGGGTTTGACTGAAACTGGGGTGTGTCAGGATTGAAGGGGAATTCGATATCGTTAAGGAAAAAACAGGGTAAACCCACTACTTTCTCATCTCTCCAGGGTTACTTGCATTGGAACGTAGGCGCCCCTACCAAATTTAAAAAGTAATTCAATTAGCCTCCCACTGTTGGAGGATGAGAAACAATGCTGTCGTTGTTTGGTGCAGGTGTGGAGTTGGTTCAGACTCGTAATGACGCCATGGTCAACAGAGCAAAGCGCTGCCTAGTCTTGCACCAGTCTCCCAACTTGAACCCATTGCTGTGGCCACAGTGACAATTCATCTCATCAAGGGCCTTCGGTCTTGCTGCCCATCCACTTTTTCAACCATGATGTCCTTCTCTCAGGACTTGGCACTCCTGATAGCATGCCTAGAGTAGGTGAGATGAAATCTCCATCCTTGCCCACAAGGAGTATTCTGGCTATAATTCTCCAAAACAAATCTCTTTATTCTTTTGGTAGTCTTTGGTACTTTCAATATTCTTTACCAGCACCATAGTTCAAATGCATCGAATTTTCTTTGGTCTTCCTTATTCAATGGCCAACTTTCACATGCGTATGAAGCAATTGAAAACACTGTAGCTTGGATTAGGCAAACCCGAGTCCTCAAAGGAACACCCTTGCTCTTCAACACTTTAAAGAGGTCGTATGTAGTAGACTTACCCAATGCAATGCCATTTGATCTCGATTGCTGCTTTCATGAGCATTGATTGAGGACCCAAGCAAGATAAATCCATGACAACTTCAGTCTCTGGTTATCACTATCTTATTCATTGGTCCAGTTGTGAGGATTTTGGTTTTCTTGACACTGAGCTGTCATCCATACTCAGGGCTGCAATCCCCGATCTTCATTAGCAAATGCTTCAAGTCCTCCTCACTTTCAGCAAGCAAGGGTGTGTCATCTGTATATTGCTAGTGGTTCATAAGGCTTCCTTTAATCCTGGTGCCACACCCATTTTCATATCATCTAGTTTCTTTGATTATTTTCTCATCAGACAGATCAAATAAGCATGGTGAGATGATACAATCCTGATTTACAGCTTCCCTGATTTAAACCAAGCACTATTCCCTTGTTTTGTCTGCACAAATGCTTCTTGATCTGCGTGTCCACAGTGAAGTGTTCTGGAAGTTTGTTTGATCCATATAGTCAAATAAATGTCTTTGCATAATCAATAAAACACAAGTAAACATTTTCAAGTATTCTCTGTTTTCAATCAAGATCCATCAGATGTCAGCAATGATATCCCTTGTTCCATGTCCTATTCTGAATCTGGCCTGAACTTCTGACAGTTACCTCTCAATGTACTGCTGCAATCATTGTTGGCTGATCTTCACCAAAATTTTTATTGCATGTGATATTAATGATATTGTTCTATAATTTGCTCATTTTGTCTGTTTAGCTTTCTTTGGAATGGGTCCAAATGCGGATATTTTTCAGTTACTTGGCCAGGGAGCTGTCTTCCAAATTTCCTGCTATGCAGAACTTCATCAGTTTGTTCAAACATTTCAATCGGCATTCCATCAATTCCCAGAGTCTTGTTTTTGGCTAATACTTTCAGTGCGTTGTAAGCTTCTTCCTTCAATACATTGTTTCTTGCTTATGTGCTACATCTTGAAATGGTTGATTGCCAACTAGTTCTTTCTGGTATAGTGACTGTGTATTCTTTCCATCTTCTCCTAATGCTTCCTGTATCAATTAATAATTTGTCCACAAAATCTTTTAATATTGAGGCTTAAATCTTTTCTTTGTATCTTTCAGTTCAAGATATGATGAGCATGTTATTTCTTTTAGGGTTTCTAACTGTAAGTCTGCACATTGCATGATTATATTTTATTTTGTCTTCACAAGCTGCCCTTGAACATTTTCTGTTCAGCTCCTTAGCTTAACCATTTCTTCCATTTGCCTCAGTTTCTCTAAAATTAAGAACCAGTCTCAGAGTCTCTTCTGACATCCACTTTGACCTTTTCTTTCTTTCCTTTATTTTTAGTGACCATTTGCTTTCTTCATGAATGGTGTTCTTGATGTCCTCCCACAGCTCATCAGATCTTCTGTCATTAGTGTTCAGTGCAGCAAATTTGTTCTGGAGGTGCTCTTGAAATTCAGGTGGGATATACTCAAGGTCATATTTTTGTTTTTGTGGACTTGTTTTTATTTTCTTCAACTTCACCCTGCATTTACATATAAGCAATTGATGGTCTCTTCCACCATCAGCCCCTCGTCTGGTGTTAGCTGCTGATATTGAGCTTCTCTATCATCCCTTCCCACAGATGTAGTCAATTTGATCTCTATGCATTTCATCTGGAGAAGCCCACTTGTATAATTGCCTTTTGTGTTGTTATTTGCAATGGAAAAAAATCATTAGTCTTGCACAACTCTATCATGCGATTTCCAGCTTTGTTTCTATCGTGAAGACTAGATTTTCCAACTACCGTTCCTTTCTCTTTGTTTGCAACTTTTGCATTCC